AAATTGCAAAAGTTTTTTATTACTACTGAAGTTAAGTGTTTTCTCCCATGTGGTTATTAATTTCTATGTTCTTGTCCCACATGCTGTTTCTTTCTTTTTCTTATTATTTATTTATTTATTTTTTGACACAGTCTCACTATGTCACCCTCAGTAGAGTTCCATGGCGTAACAGCTCACAGCAACCTCAACCTCTTGGGCTTAAGTGATTCTCTTGCCTCAGCCTCCCAAGTAGCTGGGACTACAGGTGCCCGCCACAATGCTGGGCTATTTTTCTGCTGTATGTAGTTGTCATTGTTCCTTAGCTGGCCTGGGCTGGGTTCAAACCTGCCAGCCTCAGTGTAGGTGGCTGGCGCCATAGCCACTGTGCTTATAGGTGCTGAGCCCCACATGCTACTTCATTTATATTTTGACTTGCAGATTTTTTTTTAGAGGAAAGATTTTGCATTGAGGGAAAAACAATCCAGCCCAGAGTTTCCTAAGTTGGAGATAGAAAGTGGTTAACGAGAGGTATCTGAATCTTCTCAGCTGCAAAGTGTGGCCTTGAATCCTACGGAAACTAGTCATGTATTCATTGGACTCCGAAGATCTACTTTTATTTTATCATTTGAGACAGTCTCAATCTGTGGTCCCGGGGGAGAGTGCTGTGCGTCATAGCTTACAGCAACCTCAAACAAACCCTGGGGTCAAGCAATCCTCCTGACTCAGCCTCTGTACCTATGAGAGCAGGTGCCACTATGCTCAGCTAATTTTTAGTTACCAGGTCTCCCTGTGCTGCCTAGGCTGTTCTGGAACTTCTGGCGGCAAGTCATCCTCCCACCTCAGCCTCTGAAAGTGCGGGGAGTACAGCTGTGAGCCACCATGCCCACAATCTTGCTGCATGCAATTCTTTGAAATGGCAGCTGATGACCTAATGTTTCTGGTCATAACCTGCTTGTTCTGCTTGGAGTCCTCATCTGGCTAATGGGAGTGGTTTCTACAACTTTAATAAAAATGAGATTGTGCACGTGTGCCCATGTAATGACCCTAGCAGACAGTGGCAGGTGATAGGAGTAAAGGCCTGCCCACCCACTCACTGACAATCTGCTATTGCCGTCCCCTCCCGCAGGGCCTTTGCAGGTGCCACCGTGCACGACTTCTTCAACTGGCTCTCCGTGTTTGTGCTCTTGCCCCTGGAGGCTGCCACCCATTACCTGGAGCTCCTGACCAACCTGGTGGTGGAGACCTTTCACTTTAAGAGTGGAGAAGATGCCCCAGCACTTCTGAAAGTCATCACAGATCCCTTCACGAAGCTCATTATCCAGGTAACCCAGGCCCTTCACAGAGGGAAAGGCACTAACCACCCACCCACTCCATGTCCCACCCTTGGCCCTGGCAGAGACAGACAGGGTCTATAGACACTGCTCTGTGGCCAGGGAGGCCGACCTTCAGGAACACTTGACAGACAACTGGCCTTGAATGCTTTCCCTGACTCCAGTGACGTGTCTCCTTATTGGGATGGGGTGCTTCTTATGACTGGACACTTGGGACCACGTTGTTCCCCCTACTGACCTCAACACCAGTGCCTTACTCAAGATGAAGTGTTACCCTACTCCTGCTAAAGGAGGGTACTGGCCTTTCCTGCCAGGGGCCATCTCACTAATCTGCTCCCAGGGGCCCGTCCCATGGTTGAAATGACAGGATTTGAGGATGTGGCCTTGGGGAGCTGGGGCCAGCTGGGTCCTTGTGCTTTCACTCTCACCTTCTGGTTTCCCTGTCATCCATCCATCCATCCATTCATTCAGCAAGTATCTTCTGCCTGTTTCCTAGACAACAGTGTCTGTGCTCACACAATCATCTACGCATTCATTCATTCATCACGGACCTGCTAACATCCAGGACCGTGCTCCACCATGGGAGGGCAGATGGAGCAGCTCCCACTTCACCTTTGTGGGGACGCTTCTCGCTACAACCCCTACATTTCTGTCCCAAATGAGTTCTGAGGTCACTTCTGACAGTTGTCTGTTTTCCACAGCTGGATAAAAAAGTTATCAACCAAATTGCCATGAATGATAAAACAGCCCAAGACAAGAGTCTGATCAAGATATGGTGCAAAACTTTAACCAGCGTGGTGAGTGTCAAAGAGTATCTCTCTGCAGGTAAACCCTGGGGTGTAAACTTTAAGCAAAATCTTGCATTCAAGGTGCCTGAGAAATCAAAACTCATTTAGCAAGTGAGTCCTTGATTGCTGGCCATGCTGGAAGAACAGGACAGATGGGTCTCCCTAGCCCTGTTCCACCCTGTGGATACCTTATTCCTGCCTTACCCTTATTTCCATGTCTCCTGGAGAAGCCTTATTCATGGCTGCCTCTCTGCTCCCATTTTTGGAGGGACCCAAGGAAATAGCTCATCACAGGCTACAAGTGCTGGGAGCAGGTGGCATCTCTCATTTCCCAGACTGTTCCAGAGTATTGTCCCTGAGAAGGCCCATGGCATTCCTGCCTTCCTCCATCAGGGAACCAGGCCAGCGTCCTCAGCACCAGGGCAGGAGTCTGCCCTTCCTTCTAGGGTGCATATGTATTTGGGTTGTGTGGAGTGCTAAAGGCTAAAACACTAAATGTAAGACTAGGTGTATTTGAAAGATGAAGGCTGATTTTCTTTGTCCCCAGTTGTTTTAGGAGCTTTTTAATAAAGTTGAGTAACAAGTCCCCCCTCAAAAAAAAAGTTATGATAGAGGCACTGAGCATACCGATGTGTATGGTGTCCCCTGCCACCTGTTGCCAACCAACCCAGTACAGTGGGCATGTGTCATTTTGTCATGTTTGTCTTCCAGACTCAGATGAATGTCACCATCCCCTCCCCTGAAAATTGCACCTCCCCTTCTCTCTGTTGGATGAACGAGACCCACACTTGGACCATAAAGAACGTGACCTACCGGGAGAACATTGACAAATGTGAGTGGTCTCATCCAATTGGCCACTGGAGCAGGTGACAGGGGAGGTGGGTGGTATTTCTCTTCTAGGACAGTGAGAGTCCCTGATCACCTGCTCCACATCAGGCAATGAGCAACAAGCTTTCATGGAAGAGGAGACTGAGCCTCAGGGACAGGGGATAGGCCCAAAGTCTTCTAGGAAGGGGCAGAACCAGGACATGAAGCCTAGATCCCCTGGCAACTCCATACTGCCTCAGATTCCAGAGTACTCCCTCTGTGTTCCTGGGTGTCCCTTTGTCAAAAATTGGGGAGAAGACAGCCACACTCAAATGAACGTTTGAGACCCATGCAGAACACATTCCTTCAGTGAGACCCTACTGTACAGCGCCTCCGTTTAGGCCCCTGGGGCTGCAGCACAGACCCAAGACATTAAGTGTACTTGATGCTTTGATTCCTTTATAAGCTGCAATTTTGCCCCTGGGCTCCTTTCTACACAGACTTTTTTAGTTCCTCTAATTATATGCCCTCTGCTTCTCTTTCCCTCTCCATCTTTCTGACATTAATTCTGGGCAGTATACCTTGATATTCCAGGTATTGGTTACCCAACCAAATCAAGGTAACTTATCACCTCCCCTGTTTGAGGTGTAATACATTCATTGATACAACCATGATGTACTGAAATTATCACTTTGAAAAGCAAGAGGTTTTAAAATTAGCAATGGCAATGCCCCTTACTCTAACTTCCCATTCTACCCTCTAACACTTTGAAAAATGTTACAAAGAGAAAACAGCATGGGCTTTAGAGAGTGACATACTGAGATAGAGGTCTAGGTCTGCCTCTGACTAGGTGGACATCACTTTGTTACCCAGCCTCATAGGCTCCCACTGGCCAGAACACAATCTCAGGGGCTACACTTAGTTGCAAAGGACACTGGGAAGGCTCATCTTTATTCGGGCTACAGTATGTTGAGTGAGTGACCAGGATTCTATTACTGGGAGAGAGAGAGAAGGATGTTGGGGAGCTGTGGTTCCACAGCCTCCTGACAGGGTTCTCCACGATCTCTTCAGGCCGGCATATCTTTGTAAATTTCAACCTCCCGGATCTTGCTGTGGGCATCATTCTGCTCATAATCTCCTTGCTGGTCCTCTGCGGCTGCCTGGTCATGATTGTCAAGATTCTGAGCTCCATGCTTAAAGGAAAGGTCGCTGTTGTCATCAAGAAGACTATCAACACTGGTAGGTACACTGCCCCCAATTCTGAGCCCTAAAGGACGGTGTCACCAGGGCCACTGGGGTAGATGGTTCTTTAGATTCTCATCTCCCAGGGGCCTCTGTGTGGAGTTTCTCTGCCAGATCTGCTCAGCTGCAGAAATTCAGGTGTCATTCCCAGCTGACATCTTTCATAGAGTCCTGGGCGGGGTCTGGGTGTTGACAAGGTCCTGAGAAGCAGTGAGCTCAAGATCCAGAGGGCCGGGGTCACACCTTCCCTCCTGGCAGGTTGTCTACATGCCCAGGACTTTCCTGGGTCTGTCGGGACCCCTTAGGAAGAGGGTAACAGGTGTCCACCCTCATGCCAACTTCCCTTCACTCCTTGGAAGATAATGTGGTTCTAGATAAATACGTCTTGGTGCTGAGGCAGCCACGGAGACTCTGGCCCAGCACAGCCAGGAAAATCTCCCTGCTGTGTTGTCTTGAGGGTGAACTGAGCATCTTAGGGGTCCTGTGGGGTTTTCATGGCCTGATCCGGTGCCAGAGGGACAGAGGGCTGGGACAGTGTGGTGTTCGCAGCTACCTCATTCTCTTAACTCTCCTTATGGTGGAAACAAAGGGGGAAGGTGTGCAGGGCAGGGGAGGCAGTGCGAGGCTAAGAGCTCCTAGTGCATCCTGGGGAGGGGGTTCCTGCAATGAATCTCTTGCCTTTGGAACAATCACCCACATCTTAGTCTCACCATCTGAATATAGGATGAAAGACTGACTCTATTCATCCAGTTTGCGTGTATGGCGGGGAGGGCTGTCTATAGAACCTCAAGCTCTAGCCCGGCCCCTGTCCCCGGGTCTTCTGGAGAAGCCAGTTGCACCTCCCACCCGCCTTCCCCAGAGGCATTGAGACACCTCCTTTCCTCTTGTCTCCCAGACTTCCCCTTCCCCTTTGCCTGGGTGACTGGCTACCTGGCCATCGTCGTGGGGGCGGTCATGACCTTCATCGTGCAGAGCAGCTCTGTGTTCACGTCTGCCCTGACCCCGCTGATCGGTGAGTTTGTCCTCGGCTTTCTCCTCTGGCAGCCGCTGCCATTTGTCTGCCCCCCCCACCCCCGGGCTGAGGCCTCGTGCTGTGTTTTTCGTGTAGGTATCGATGTGATAAGCATCGAGAGGGCATATCCGCTCACGCTGGGCTCCAACATCGGCACCACCACCACGGCCATCCTGGCCGCCTTGGCCAGCCCAGGCGATAGATTGCGGAGCTCCCTCCAGGTGAGACGTGCTCCCGGGACAGGGGCTCTCTGGGGGTGGGAACCAACCCCATGGGTGGTCTTGCAAACCACTTTCTAACTGGAGCAGGTCATTTCCCTGATGTGTCCAGAAGATGGAACTCAGGTGGGGAGAAGGAGCTGCTTGAGGCAAATTTGAGCAGCTGGATATAGGGATAGTCAAAAGCACCTGCTCCTAAGAGAGACAGTGAGACTCATGTCACTGGGACAGAGATGCAGAAAGCATATTCAGGAAGCACAGGCGCCCCCTCCCCAAATCATCTTACCTCCCACTTGGAGAACTCCGACTGGGTTTCTGGTAGAGGTCACCTGTGCTGTGTGTGGGCCCGGGATTTCAAAAAGAGTCAGGTGCACCTGACTGGGTCAACCAGGTAACTGGATAAGACCTTTGGGATTTGAAGCCTTGTCCCATGATCTGTATACAAGTGCCTAGGACATGGTACCCTCAGTTAAAAACTGGAGGACATGGCTCAGTGCCTTAGCAAAGTGGTTATAGTGCTAGCTACGTATACCGAGGCTGGCATGTTCAAGCCAGCTAAACAACCATGACACTGCAACAAAAAATAGCCAGGCGCTCTGGCGGGCACCTGTAGTCCCAGCTACTTGGAGGCTGAGGCAAGAGAATCGCTTAAGCCTTAGGGTTGGAGGTTGCTGTGAGCTGGGATGTAATGGCACTCCACCAAGGGCAACATAGTGAGACTGGCTCAAAAAATCCCCCCCAAAACAAGAGGACATGACTCTGATTTCATAAGGGTCATGATTGAGGTCCAAGGAGGCCCTAAAGCAGTGGCTCTCAACCTTTCTAATGCCACGATGTGTTTTCATTGTTATAAAAAGGCTCGCCCCACAGGTTGAGAACTGCTGCCTAAAGCAATGCACACAACAGAAATATAAAGGTGAGCTCCTTAACCACAAATATAGTTTAAGATTTTTTTAGTAACCACATTTACCAAAAAAA